TCTGTAACTCTTGACATTTTATACTGAAGCCTCATTCTTATGTAATTTCTGAGCAACCTGCACAGGGTTCGGATGTCAGCYKGACRCATATTTGCACAGTAAGTGGGCGAGGAAACTGGACCCTGACCCCGATCACCAAACATGTCTTTGACCAGAGTGACACACACACACAGTGAAAGTAAACAGGTCATTACATTGATCAATTCTATAAAGTACTTATTTTAAAACTTTTAACACATGATGAACTGATTATTAACAGAACACAAAATATAGTTAAAAGTGTTCCATATCTCTACAATTACTTTAACAGGGAAACCTAAGATTAGCATAATCTGTTCATAATATTTGAACACATTTTACACGCGGAAGTGTTGAATAAAAGTCAAAACTGCTTCAGCACAAAATTACGACATCACTAAATGCCTGTGATTTGTTCTTTTATTCATTTTTGCTTCTCAGCATCATGACAGAAACACTCAGCAATTACTGGAGGATTCAGCGTTTCTTCCAGGAAGCTGTCAGATTTTTCTCCAGATAGTTGATGCTTGAGCAGCATCTGAATCCATGTACCTCCACAACTTTTAAGCTGCGGAATCCCTGAGCCGTGTCTAACAATTTCTGTAACTCGCYAGAAAAGAAACTCTCACAGTCAGAAATGTGGAAGAAAGGATTTTGATTTCTCGCTCAAGCTCTGTTTTCCCCTCAACATGCTGAGCGCAGCAGAGCAAAGTTCGTCTGAATCTGGATTGGATGTAATTCCCATAACCGCTTTGGAGGAAACCTTTAAAAACACWTAAAATATTTTACCCAAACACATATCATAAATATATTTTATTACCTTTCAGTCTTTAGCCTTTCCACAGACAAATCAAAAGTTTATCCACATAAAATGCTTTATATCTTTTAGGCACAAACAAAGTATTAAAACACATGTTGGATTGGCACAATTAAAGCCCAGCTGTGTTCAAAACAGACCAGTTGGTCCAGCAGTGGGTCAAATCTGAACCAAGCCAATCCAGGTAGTTTTAACTCCCAAACCCAGTGCTGGGTTAAGTTTCTGCCAAAAAGTAGGTAAAAACTAATTTGTTGAATTAAAACTATTAACTGTTTATTAATTATTAGGTTGAGTTAAAAAGAATGACTCAAAATTAGCCTATTAGATTGAATGATAGCTAGCTTTTGGACCCCAAACTCACAGCTTTTTATGAACTAAAGTTATTAACGAAGTAAATATATTAAACATCTAACAAGTTGTTTTTACTGTCTAACTAATTCCATATTTAAACAGAAGTCCAGTCAGGTCCAGCTTTGTCACTTGCTGGCCTAAAATCCCAGACTTTGAAAATGTGAACACCTCCAAACCCAATGGGTCAAATTTTGTACCCAACATTTGGTCAAACCAACCTGAACCAGAAACTTTTAGTTTATGTAGTTGAGTCAAGTGGTTACAGTGAACAGCTGCTGGTCACAAAGAGGGAATGGACACTAATAAAGAACCTGTCACATTATTTCCTCTGCATACACTGCAAAAACTAGCTATCTAAAAAGAAGTTAAAAATACTAGATTGAAGTATGAGTTCTCAAGTTAAGTGAAAAAATAATCCAATTCAGTAAGACAATCATGCTTGGACTTCTTGAAATAAAAAACATGTACAGGCTAATAAGATTAATAATCTAACACATTCTGCTCTTCTTATATCAGTCTCAAAACAAGCTCAACGAAGCACTTGGAGAGTGCAAACCTCCACCAAGACCAATTTCCCCCATCCTGTAAGAGTT